CTCTAGTGCTAAAATGTGTACGTTTTAAAGAACGTTACCCAAAGCTTCTCTGTAGCAAACATAAAGAATATGTGATATACGCGATGAATCGCATTAATTGTCATTAGATGGTTGTCATAGTAAATAAGTTGGAGGAAGCCGTAGAAAAACTGGACAAGGGAAAAAATGGAATATTATGTTTGCTAATCAGATTATATCAGGATAATTTATGCTTTCCTTGTTTCTTTGTGAACGGTTATTTGCCAGCCCTGTTGATACTGTTACTGTGATTTTAAAAACATTTGAGTTATTATTTTAAACCGTATAGGAAGGCCAGCGATTTTCAATTTCAAATACATATGTGTGTTTTGTGAAATAACAATTTAAATCTACATTTGCGAAAACAGTAAGTTAGTAATTCCTCAAACCATGTTTAAAGCATTTTCGTTTGGGGAATATATCACAAGATAACACGCACTAATGCAATTTGGCTAGTGTTTCCTTGTAGGCGTGCTGGCCACAATTGTGTGAGTTTGTTTTAATTTATCCACTTTGCAGTCTCTGTACAATGTTAAGCAACGTTTTGAGTCACCTTGACTCGAGTTTTAGATCGCCTGCATTTTGTTAAGATCTTTCATTGATCGCCGACTTTTCTCCATCTCTTCATTTTTTATAATAGAGATTTTTTAATCGTACATTATTCGGGTGAGGCATTTACCCGTGTACAGTTTGTTTGAGTTGCGTGACACTCTCCGGTAGTGACATCTGGTGCAGTGGGAAACTAGTATAATAAAATATTGATGTTTGGTGCTTTTGCCACTGAGTCGAACAATAACGTAGTAAACGATACTGATTAATTAACATTAATTTAAAACGAAATAGTCCATGTATGTATACTGATCGCTGTTTTTATTCCGTGTCTTTGCGTGATAGAGCAACAAAATATAGACTTTCAATATCAGATAGGAATATGTGTCTGACTTCATTACAGAAATAAACATGATGTGCAATTTCTAAAACTTATCAGGTGTTTAGCCCTTACAGTAATGAACATAACATATATATCATTAAAGCCAAAATAGAAAAAAGATTGACAAAAGCAGACGTGAAAGAAACAGCTGATGTATGCAGTTGTAAAAAGTACAGGGAAATGTTAACGCAGTGATATATGTGAACACAATTTGCATATACAAAACTAACTTACCTTCTCTCCGTGTTGCTTTCCAAATACGACTTGGTGTATGGTGCTTAACATATATTAAGGCATATTACAGGGGGTGTCACACCTAACCGAATAACACTAATATTCAAAACACAGTGAATACTGACATATTGATGAATTTGTGAAAACACACTATGTAGCGTAATAATAATTATAGTAAATATGTTCGATGTATTGATTAATTCTAGACTTATGTGCTGTAAAATGACGAATTTTCACTGGGTTTAAATTTCTATGATTTACCATTTCAGGCATATTCAGTGGGTTTTAAATTCACGGTTTCGTCATTTAGATAATGTGCTCTATGCTACATTTTACTTATTCACTGGGCTTTAATTTAGCGCATTACCAAGTCAACGAAATAAGCAAAATTAAAATTCGGTGAATAATTAAGCCCTTTGCAGTATGCTCCGTGATAAACGTTCAGCATATGGGACATACATATATATATATATATATATATATATATATATTGAGAGAAGTAGAAAGATTGTTATAGATACGTATGTCCTTTCTAAAAGACAATACATCAACGCTTCTAAATATAAAAATACGTAATTTTCGAGGTTTACACTTCAACATTCATAGGATGTTTCGATAGATACAATGAGCTTGTAATTGAATACAATAACACTGTTATCACTGTTGTCAGTTTTTGTTTTGTTCATGCAGATTTTCTTTTTCAATTAGTCAGTTGTTCTATGTTTTTGGAGTTGTAAATTTCCCTATATGACACTATAGTTGGGTGTGTTATTTCTACTTTACTTCACCATTCCGCAATAGTCATCACATTTCATTTCACACAATTGTTCAATCGGAAACGATATATCATTTTTCCATCCTATGTCACAGAGAGATTAGACGATTTTAAATATCGTAAAATCATGACTTTTTACTCCGTTCTGTACATAGTTTATGATTGGCACCAGGCTGTACAATATGTTACATTCCTTATGTATTAAGCGCAGATACACGATCTGCCATTAAATGTTAATGTAGACCATTACAACACAAAATAACGAGCATTTTTACAATGAATGATGCCACCAAAAATGCTATTACATGCCACAATCAATCAATAGGTAATACTTTATATTCAGAAATGTTAGAATTTAGAATTCATATACTGTTATTGAATAATGTGATCTGTAAATTCCAGAGTTATGAATATCAGAATTTCCCTTATTCTAGTATATCATAGCAGTTAAATGTCATAATTTTCCACATCTCTTCTCCATGTAATATAACACTGCTGGCATCATGGTTGACATATGTTATAGTTTTACACAAGATTTGTTGATTTATTATTAATTCTAACACTTCGTCTAATATATGACTTGTTTTGTCTTGAATACGGGCTTATAAATTGCGATCACAGTGCTAGTTGTTAGCCTTTAGAAGCCGTGAAAAGTACATATGGGATAAGCAGGGTATCAAAATTGTGAGTCTCCAAAATGTAAATCACCACACTCATTTAATAAATCGGTCTGTTGCACGCAACATATGGAGCAGTATCTGACCTTTCGAATATTCTGACTTTACCACTAAGATAAATCCCTTGAGATTATCGAAAGTAGATAATAATTTAACAATATTGAGTTAGTGGCGGCGACACAAGGGGTGACAGGGGGACGGTCGCCTCCTCGAAAAAATGTTGGGGGCGTCGCCCTTTCCAAAATCAAGCTAAAACCCTTTGTGTCAGCCAAATGTGCCCCTCAAAATGCAGGAAATAGCATTTCAGAGGGTCTATATTGCAAATTTGTTAAGGGGGTACATGCCCCCGGACCCCTAGTAAGGTCGCGCCTTCGACGCAAGGTTGGTGAGCAGACTCCCCCCCCCAATGCAACATTTCCTGCCGCCGCCTCTGTGAGTGTCGATTAAACTGCATGGCGTTATCTCCATTGTAACAAATCTGATAATTAAAACAAACGTGGAGTCATTTAACAATAGCAGTAATTGTTCTTGTAGTACGAAACAAAATGTCCTGATATAATATATATGATAAAACAATAAGAAGATTCATAATGTAACTGCGATGTAAATCAGAGACACGCATATGTTCTGTACAAGACTGTGAACGATCTTCATATATCCCATCAGATTGGGTGGTCAGCCTAACCCAATTTTGATAATAGTTTCAGCCGAGTGTTGGGCACCACATTTGACAATGGATTTACCCAAATTAGATTTGTGGCTTGCGATTGGTTGAGATAATTTAGACAGGTGGAAGTTAGACTATTGTGAAAAAGATTGTGCTTTCTATAGTATGTGTTTTCAATTAGGAGTAGTGCAGAACTAAGACAATTATCGTTGATAATAATAATTTTATTTAAAATTTTATGATAACAGGAAAGGACACAATAAATCGACTGCACACCGTTTTCATGGTCTTCCACAGTTCTCTTTAAAAATTTATCCATTTTCGAATGATGGACTACGTCTATCAAGATGGATGTATCCTGTAAATAAAACCTAATATCATCACAGAAAATGTCAGTGGCAACATACCGTGAAGAGAATATAAGGCATTCGTTGAGGACTGGGCGTTGGTAAATAATTGGGATCTGGTACCCAAGTCCAGATATTTAGCAGTGAGTTTATTAGGCTTAGCACAGTAAGTTTTGACCCAGGAGTCAGATGGTGGAGAGATACAATATGGAAAGTTGGTAGTAAGTTTTGACAGGTGATCAGGTACGACGGGCAGGCATATACCTGGATACCTATGCAGCAGTGCTGCTGAGTAGACATCAGAAGGGAGGCGAGACTTTACAAAAGTTGGGTTACATTATGGTTATGCCCCAATTTGCATGGTGATTGTGGCATACTTAACAATGCACTGGTCAGGACTTTGCATACATGGAAATGACTTCATTCACCCGATTCCCCTAATTTAAATTGGCATAGCTTCGATAGTTAATTAGTTATTTCAATGTTAGAAATCCTCAGTCAGAAACTTTACCTAACTTGAACCATGATGGTTGCAGTTATCAAATAAACCTTGTCTGGTTCTTAGATGGGTCTAGTCTAGTTTTCTTCGATATACCTTGTCTGGTTCATACATCGGTCTGGGTCAGTTCTAAGATAGACCTGGTCCGGTTCTCAGATGGGCATATTTTTTAACAATAATCTGTGGTATTTAATTGAAGCAATGTCTTCAGTATGAACAATATTTTTTGCGCTAACTTCAATTAACACACTTAAATAGATCGTGTTCTTGGCAGATTATTAATGGCCAATTCAAAATTAAACAAATCCACATGTCTGTCACATTGGCTGAGGGTACATGATGTTTCATGTTCTATCCAATACAAAATTCAAACCCAGGACCTGCCGACACACATAATACTTTGACAGGCGATTTGAATATTGATTTTGAATAAACTATTTGCCTATGCATTTGTAACACACGCAATCATATCGAAAATGGCAAAAGGGTGTACACAGATTTCGTAGATACGTTTTCCACAGAATGAAAAACTGTAGCCAAATCTTCCCAGTGTTATATTTATAGCATTCCTTTATTTCAATTCATATATTAACCTGTTAAATCCATACACCAAAGATTGCAAATAACAAAAAATAAGTGACTACGCAAAATTAATCCAACAATCCTTTCAAATGAAATATAGCTATGTACTTAATAACTTAATAATCTAGCTTATACACGAAGTGTCATTAAGAAAGATGTACTTGATGCAGTGATTTGATTGTCTCTATACTGCTGTATCGATATCACATACTAGTATTCGAATATTCGAAGTATCGAATATTTGCTTAATGTAAGAAAGGCTTTGTTAGGATAGAAACTTAATTTTAATAACGACATTAAAATAAATAACAACTAAGAAACAACACACTTTGTCTCAATGAATGTACTTATATATTAAAACATATGAGACATATTGAAGTAGTCTACCAATTATCATGCTTATCCCACAAAATTGCTATACCACCCACGCTCCCATTCTCTACCCCCTCCCCGACTATGTTTATACAGCCAATATTTTCAAAGTCGTTTCTGGTCCACTTTAATCTTGACCATTGTTGTCTCATCTTAAGCTGCAAGAAATGGGGAAATTGACTAGTGACCTGCAAGAAATGGGGAAATTGACAGTGACTTTACGTTAAAATTCGTATAACGCTTTTAAATGCTAATGCGTATGTGTATACATGGAAATAATAAACCTAATAGTAAATATTTAGACAAAAGTTGTATATGGTTCGATAGTATCAATCTTTCTGAGTCATAAACAAATGGCATCTGTTTGAAATCTGAGATTGTTGACAAATATATCCTCCAAACTCGACAAATATGTTGTCAATACGAAATTCATGTATACTGATAATGGCACCTCCAGTGTGGAAGAAATACATCCGTCTTGTTCTTAACAAGGTAAGTGAAATAGTATCTTATACAACCACTAAATATTTGTGTCACTAGAACGATTTTTTATTTTAAAAATGCTTTTGGAAGTTATCTTGATTTCATTTTTTTTAAAGTTTATTGGAATGTTTTAATATCCACATTTGATTTATACCACTTCTAAAAAAAGGGTATCACAGTATTTTGATAGTAGATTTCACTCTATTGTTGGGAGCTTTGTTTAGAGGGAAGACAGCATATCCACAATGGTGATTAGACAGAAAATGGAGTGCGTCACAATCTTTAAATACAGAATTTGGTCTTCTGTGGACTTAGCACTCCAGTCTATGAATACAACAACTGCTCTTCTGAACTTGTATAATTTATATAAATCGTCACTAAACCTGAAAATCACCTCTGTTGTGTACAGTTATATGGCATTGTGGGCTGCGTGCTTCAAATACTGTAGATAAATATATGTCATATCTACATTTCCAAGGAAGGTAAACACAGAAAACACTAGCCTAAACAGTCATGGGGCTTTTAGGCGAGAACAATGAGCTTGTGGTTGAATATGATAAAAACGTTACACAGATGACATAAATGCTACTGAAATAATATAATAAATAATGCCACCATGAAAGCATTGATCCTGACACTGAATGACATATGGAAGATGTCACGTGCAAGTGTCTTTCTCTATAAAACTTCTGACAACAATTCACGTACTGTAAAATATCTTACTTTCACTGGGTTAAATTTTCCATTTCATGCATATTCAATGGGTTTTAAATTCACGGTTTTATTATTTAGATATCATTTAGATAATCAGTTCTACGCTAAATTTGACATATTCACTGGATTTTAATTTAGCGCATTTTCCAGTTAGCGAAATAAGCAAAATTAAAACCCAGTGAATAGTTAATCCTTAAGTAAGTTTAATTTTCTGATTTGACTATGTACTTTTAATTAGTGTACCTGTTTTGAACTTGTGGATTGACTCTTTCGATTGTCAATCATTTGTTTTGTGTTATTGAACTTATTTCCCTATACAACTTATCATGCGTTCAATGCACGTCACTTATTGACTGTACTCAGACTATCCTAATTCATCGATATGTTGAAAGTAGCCAAAATCTATTTTAACTTACGCTCTACAATAACAGAAAAACTACAGGATGCACAATATCCTGATTCATCAGTAGCTGTGCATGTCACTGTTGTCACTCCATGTGAAAAACGTGAGCCGCTTTTGTGTGAGCAAATCATACGCGGGTAGGCACTTGAATCATCATTTACAGCGACATCTGGCCATGTTACTCTGGTAAGACGATGATTAGCTTCAATGGTGATATCATCAGGACATTGAATAGATAATGGGGTGTTATCTGAAGCCAAACAGAAGAGCATAATTATTAAATGACGTCATATTACGTAAAAGAGAAAATCATAGGTTTCTGATATACTCTTTGATGAACAGATGTTAATCAGAGTGATTGTTGAATGAAAAACTAAAGCCTGTTGGGTGTAAATGAAAAACATGTATACACCATTTATTCATACCATGTTGATGGGTCCATGCTGATAGATCGATACCCTCAATGTCGTTACACGTAACTAATCCACCACTAACATCTGGGATTAAAAAGACGTCACGCTGAACTTGATCTATGTCTGTATTATCACATATTATGCGGGCAAGTGAAGTTTTCTTTATCTCAGCTAGTTGTGCCTCTAAGAAGTATCCAGGTTTCTCATACCAAAACCTGTAACATAATTAAATAATTTAATGACATTCCAAGTTCGAATTATTTATGCTGCATTTTTTATTTTTGAAGTATACAAACGCTAACTTGAATTGAACTAAATGTAAGTGACTTGTTTGTTGTCATTATTTGTTTATACAAATATCAAATACAATTGCATTACAAAGTATAAAAAAGATACTATACCTATCACCATTTCTTGTGTTCTTGAATTGCCTAGACAGTATACAGTTGAACGTGGGACCCACCACACTGCCTTCTATGGGATCTTCTGCCATGCCACCAATATACAGATCGATATTATCTACATGACCATACAGGGTTTGGAGTTCTGCACGCAAATCATTGCTTGATATTAGGTTCTTTAAGTGTTTAAATTCAGTGATTCTATGTCGGCCTTCATTGCACAATTCAACCCATTCTGTATAGCCAGGTAGGGCATGGTCACGACCTCTTTGAATATTAAGGGACATCAGATCCAATGCAATTGTGTGTGAAAGCTCAAATAAGTGTTCTGTCAACTCATCTGTCAGCATTTCGCTAGGATGGAGATCTTTAGCAGCTGTGGCAAAGAGTCCTCTGATAACGGGATCTATACCACCTTGTTCAACGATTCTCCAAGGTTGAAAAAATGCTAGATGAAGTGGGAGATGACCGTCTGGGATTTCATGGAAAGTTGCATTGAGTCTGACTAGAATTGGTTTCACTGTACCATGACCAAATCTAAATGCAGCAGTGGAAAAAACATTGTTCACAGCCGCATTGGTGCGTGGATCATGACGACTGTAAACACCAATAGACTCCATACCAACGTCACCAAGAATCTTTGGTAAATAGTGATCATATGTAATATGTTGTAGTGTAGCACCCACGAGTTTACGTGTTTCCTGATATAGTTGTTCATCGTCCCAGTGTGGATTGATCTGTGATAACATATTACTGATGCGATTGTGTTCACGCAGAAAGAGGGTGTGCATAGCAGTAAGACCAATTTGTTCATTGGCTCGTACATCACCAGCGAGAAAGCATGGCACTTCATTCATGCTATCGTCACTCAGACATGCCATTGGAGAGTCATCGTCAAAGGGCAGCAGTGGTCGTCCAGTTGCTGTCTCATTATCCCCAACTCTCAGGCCCCCTTTACCATTAGAATCTCTCAGTTCTTCAGCTTCGGTCTGATTACTTCCATAAACTTGTGATGCATCAATATAGGATGTGATTGCGTTCGTCTGTTCTCTTGGATGTTGAAGACTGCCTGTTCCACACACTGCACTGGATCGGATAAACTCCGTACATTCTGCATCGTGGATGCGTGGATCATCATCAGGGACAGGAATAGGGAAACACGGTGGATCGTTGGCACATATGTCGCTACAAGGAGTACCATCTCTAAATGTAACAGAACTTGGACTCTGTGGTGTTATATCCAAATCATGGTCTAGAAACTGTCCAAACTGAGTGACAAGGCCAGTTAATTTAGGATCTTCTGAGGAAATGTATGTTGAACCAATTTTGTTGGAGACATCTCGCGGACTTGGTTTAGGAAACCCATTGTACAGCCTACCAATATTCCATCCAACTGGCTCATTCAAATCATTTTCATAAATCGGTTCTCTCATACGGGAAAAAGCGGTCATGGCAGCTCCTTGTGTCGGATTTTCAAAATTATTACAGGTGCCATCGACGGTACGATACTTATAATGAAAACACATATCCTCGCATGTTATTGGGGGCTTCTCACAACCTGACAGACTTAACACAGCTTCAACTAGTTCTGGAGTTAGATCAGGAGCTGAAAATAATTGTTCAAATAGTCTTTACAATACAATATTCACGTTACAATAACTATGTTTAAATCATTGATTAATAACTACGATGTCTATATTGTTATATTCAATTCCTGATTCCCGAATAGATAGCGTTATTATCGTATATGTGATTGCAATTATTGCGTACCCTAAAGTCAACAAACCGGAAGATTTGGAATGTTCCAAATGCGCAAAATCGCAGTTCACCGCTCATGTCATGTTCATATTTACTCAGCGAAATACACACGTACCATCGCGAGCTGCCACTGTTGTACCAACCAACGCTCTCTCCCTTATATTTTAAAAACTGTTTTAAAGTTTCCACTGTTTTCCGGGGTTTCTGTCCTGTCCTGTCCTGTTGTCTGGTAGGTTATACATGCACAAATATAATTAATTCGGGAATTTGGAATTGCTTTTGTATTGAGAAATTTATTAAAGTTAAATATGTTTTGTTTACCTTGTTCATGGTCTTTCATAATCTCAACTGTTGTTTCAAAGACCTCCTCATGTCTGGAAACATCTACTATAGATTGTGATGGAAATCTGAATAGTCTCAATAACTGTGCCGGATTTTGGGGGTTTCGATTCTGTTGAATAGCTTGAAGAGTTTTATAGATAGCTCGATCAACATCATTGGCAGCTTCATGGTAGGATGACTGTAGAACAGGATTGTCCATGATGTCTCCATAAACCGGAGCTAAAAATTGAATATTTTGCTTAATATTTATTAATCTATGTAAATCTGTTACATGCATTATCTCTTTGATAATCTATACTCTGTTCTGACTTGAATGTAGATAACTAACCTTTAAACAAATTTATCTGGTTATATCACAAACATTAAAACAACGTTACCTCTTTTAGAAATGCTCACATTTTACTATTGATTTTACACAATAAAATACATATTTATAACATACACTGATAATTTGTTTATTTTATCATTTCTTACACGTTATTATTTGGTCATTTTTACACTATTTTAGTTTTGTATTGTTATTATTTGGTAATCAGCGCTAAAGATGTTTATATTTTGAAACCGGGTGTGTGATCTTGTATTTCACATTGTGCTGGGTGTCATTAAGACACCTAGTAATACAGACACAAAATGCTACAAACATTGCCAAACAATAACATAATAATAGAACAAATGTAAAAAAAAATATCAGATAATGCAGGACAAACAAATTATCAAATACTAACATTACAAGGCGAAAGCAGTATGAATATATTATAATTAATATAATTTTTAATTATTTACGCTTGGTCAAAAAAACTAAAGAGTGACATAACGTTAGATTAACAAAATAATGATATAAAAATGCAAAATAATTATGGGATTCAACACTTTAAACATGATGTAATAATGATTAGACACACACAGTTCATATAATCTAACAATATAAACATGGTCAAGTAGTAACATAACAATAATAATAATAAAAAAAATAAAAGAATTACCGAAAAAGTTTAAAAGTTTAAATATTATCATAGAGTGACATAATAATTAAAAATTAATGTCAAATATTGATAAACTCAGAACTAATCTCACCCTATATATTTGTAATGATAAATTTGTATGTATTGGTGTATTAAGTTTTTAGTATTAGGTTTACAAGTAAATGAGTGCAAGTACTCTAGCACTATACTACTATAAATTACACATTTTTGCGTGTTAGTAAAAGAGTTGTATAATCTCATAGAGCTGTTGAATACTTTATTCATAGTTGCTGGTACCAGGCACGTTTCCATGGCAAAATAATTTACACTTGGATACACACTCCTGCTGAGTAGAATAGCGCCCTCTAGACCCTATATATGTTGTGTTTTTGTATTGGTACAAGTTGTTTATATCCGCTGATTATTGGCTAGTATATTCCTTGGCATGATTGAGTTTCAAGCAAGTTCATTAAATATGGTACCAGAGTAACTATTCTTTTAATTCTAAGCAGAAATTAACTGGACCGCACCTGTTTCGCATACAGATTTGCATACAAGACTTAGCTCAGTCGGGAAAGAATGATTGCGGTTGATTAAGATTTTGAATTTAAAATTGGATTTGATTAATCATTAAAATATTTCATGAACATTTGAATGTACTAAGTGGGTGAAAGTTAATAATATTTGTGTAAGGGGCTGTTTTAATGTGATTCACTATATGAACTCAACATTTATAATTAAATGCTGGTGACTAGCATTGTTTAAACAAACCATAAACGGGTACGTGTTCGAACTACAAATACCAGTGTTCCAATGGCTTGTATTTATGTATGTTTTCATGTATATCAGTTTTAGAGGTCCTGTGTCCACAGAAAATAAACAGACGGACATGTGTTGTCCTCAATGATTATTTGTCGATGTTTGTTTCAAATATCTAATGGTGTTTTTTTGTCAAACTTCTTTCTGAAAAAAATAATGCCTGAATTTACAGCGCCGTGATGTAC